TACTACGCGATCCTTGACGCTGCATATTATTTACATTTGTGGTTATTCGTAAACAAATAGAAAATATATCAAATCTCATCATTTTGTCGTGTATACGAACGTACCACTATATAAGGCTGTCAGAATGATTAAAAATTTACTTTCCTAAAAACTAAAACTATATTAATTTTTATTTTATTTAATCCAAATTTATTTAGACAAGTAATGAGTATTCAGGACCAGTCCTTATAGTAAATATTTTTGGTAGGATCTTCAAATCCACTAGGAAGGTCTGTTTTAATGAAATAATACTCAAAAATATTAATTTTCTTTTTAGCTTGGAAAACCTTCATACTAAGACAGTTACCCTTAACGAGACTGAAATAGATTACCCTAGACCTCGATCAGGACTCTATTGGAAGCAATCATTCCAATCGATTTAAACACACCCTCACGCATATTCATATACTACAAGTAAAACTCTTCAACATATAGACTCGCTATAATTAATTTCCAAAGAACCACAAGTATTTAACATCTCCAACGTGACGCCACTCCCGATCTCCGAAGACCTTGATAAGGGAGACCCTCAAAAGTCCAAGCTTTCATCCAACTCAGGCTGCATCCACGCAACTGTGACTTTGTTTCCCGACCAGTTTGCTACGCGTTATGGTTACTTGATCATCGTTGGGATTCATCGGTTTCGCAGGACTCTTCTGTAATGATTTCGCGACACCCTTCGTCGTCGAGTGTCCTCCCGATGTTCCGAGACAGCTTCCATGCTTCTCGGAAGTCGTGGCGTAAGAAACCAAGGAGCCGACGGCGTGAGAATAAAGTGGGACGAAAGCCACGCGGAAAAGAAAAGGCGTTCCACGAATGAAGTGGTGGACGAAGGGGAAACAGTCGAAGAAGCGAACTACGCTGAAGAAAAGGCTGCAGGGTCTGGAATTGAAATGCATTGGAGGGGAACGAAAAGTTGATCCTCTCCTGGAAATACCGGGGACCAATTGTCCGTAGAGGGACGAGATTCCTTCTCTTGTCAGGAATTCAACTCGCGAGTCCAACGACAAAGTGAATTCCTGAAGGACGGAGGATGCACGGAGGGTTCCCCGATCCTTCGCAGTTAAACGGATCCGAGATTTCAGGGCTCCCCCAAAAAAGGGGCCCCGAGCTCTCGTAATTGGGCCTGCACATCCTTTTACCTTGTCGTTCGTGCCACTTGTTCTCGCTGATCTCCGAAGGATCAAGAAAGATCGTACGATGAGATTGACGCTTTTTTCCACCGCCATCGATCCGACCGGTCTGTACCTATACTCCCTCGTCCCTTTTCTCTCGCTGATGCAGAATTATCGCTTCATTACCAATCGCCCCTGGCTACGCTAATCGAGAAGCTGCTGTCGGCTTCATAGGTAACACGAGGGCTCGTTGCATCTTCGATTTTTCATTCAGGATTATTCCTCAGGGAGCGCAACAGTCTGAAAGCCCTAAGACGAGAGACGGTTTCAGGAATTCTTTACAAAGAAAATATACGATGGATTGCTTTCAAACTTTTTTTACGTTTTATCAAACATTTGAACAAATAAAAATCGGTCTCATAATAATATTTACGTGGCGTTACTCGGTTCGACAGATGTGCGCAAGTGAGTACCGGAAAGAACACTAGTTGACAATTTTGTGACCACGGGGTATATTTAAAATAAAAAACAACAATTTTCTCTCAAAGCAGATACCAATGGCTATATTCCAACGTAGGGATAATTCGATATCTCGAAAAATTAGAAAATGGTGGGCTTTTAGCTGAGCACTTAACACTGCTCAACACTTACAAGTTCTCAACACTCACAGATTTCTTTTCCATAATTTGACACCTTACGTTTCGAAATGTGTACCTTTTGCGACAACAACAAAATTGATTTGTAAGAAAATTTTACATTATCGTGCACCCCTTAAGCGTCGGTTGTCATGTTCTGTGGACCTTAGAAGAGCTTCGTGTAGTGGCCGGAAGGAGGGTATCCCGTATTCAAGCCTCGTATCCCCAATCCAGCGCTATTTATGGTTGGGACGTCCACAAGAAAGTCTCCTCTTTCCCTTGGTCCTCAGAGGGCATGGGGAATTCCGTTATCTCGAAATCTCGGCGACTTAAAACTCGAGCATCCCCGTCGTCGAAAATCGAGGAATCAGCCTAACGATTTATGAATGGACAGGATCGCGTCGTCGCCAATAGGCTGGCTGCCTCCCCTCTCTCGTTCTGTCAAGGGAGGAGCTCGGTTCGGGACGCTGGAGATGAGGCACTTTTTAAAAAATTTTTTTAAATAGTGACTTCTTTCTAAAAATTTGACACAACGTTCTTGAAGTATCTATCTTTTGGAGAACGCAAACAAAAATGGCGTTACGGTTCCCTAAACGTAATTCACGTACAAAAGGGGAGAAAGGAAAACGGAAGAGCAGCGCGGAGAAGCGGCACCACGACAAATCCCGGTGACGTAATTTCGGACGGTCGTCGAACCTGAGACCTCGGGAGTCGCACCACGAGACCCCACGACTTTCATTCATTCGGGGTGGGGACGAACGCATACGCCGTGCACACGTGCACGCCGCGCCTCGAATGGCAATCGCTAAATTCTTCCAACCCAACGATACCCAACGACATCTTGTCCCCGCGAACCAGTCGGAGAAAGTTTGGTCACGCGGTTAGGAGCTTGGCTTTTCTTACCTGGCAACTGCTTCACACTGACGCCCGTTCATTTGGAAAGATTCGGATACCCTCTCTCTCCTTGAACTGTTTCAGGGATCATGGGATCGACGTGTCATCTGACGGTGGCGATCCTGCTGCTCGTTCAGTCGAACCTGCTGCTCGCCCATCGAGAACACAAGGTTCATCGATCTTTCTGTTTCGTGGTGGATGGGTACCCCTACAGTGCAACACACAATTTTATGTTCAGCCACATTTTTAATTATAAGTTTGTTTCTGAATGAAAAAATTTGCAATTTTTTAGCGATATTTGCTTATATACAGTCTACCTCGTAAGTATTCGTACCTTCAATATCTATTGAAGAAAGGCTAAATTAAATTGTAGGTTTAATATTTCCTAGTAAAGTTTTCATTAGAAGTGTATGCACGAGTAAAGTTTATTCATGTACATACTTCTAATGAAACATGTATTTGGAAAAATGAAACCTGTCATTTAATTTAGGCAAATTTCTTCAATAGACGCAGAGGGTACGAATACTTATAGGACTGGCTGTATAAAGAATTGCGAACTATTAATATCTTTTTCAGCATTTGCTATATACAACCATTCCATACAATTTCCATTTTCTTGATTATTTTGCCAAAAACAATGTGTCAAACTATGAAGTATGTTTGCCAGTAATAAAGAATTGCAGGATCTTTATACATATAATCTTGTGGGGAGTTGTTCTTATAAAACCATACTCCAAGTCCTGGAAAAGTAGGTAGTATTGGCTTGTCCAGAAAGGTAGCCAATTTTTAAGATAAATTCAAAGGCACATTTGAATTTCGGTATATATTTATTAAATAACGTAGGTGCCACTTTGTTCCACAACCTTTCCAGCTTTTAAGAAATGCGTGCATGCTATTTGTTTTCAAGCACTCCGATCTATTCAGATCTGTACCACCTACTAAAAATCGACATGGACTTTCCAGGTAACCCAATAGTATGTTAGTAAGTGTTAAGATCACTAAAAACTGCAAACGATTTCATTCAGGAAAAGCAAACTGACGCTCAAAAATGTGGGTGGCTCGTGTGTCGCACTGTATACCCCGCGCATCCTCGTTTTCTCAATAGAGTGACGTAAACGTAATCGTTGCTTCCAGGTCCACAACATCGTGCTGTACCCGGACAAGCACAGCTGGTGCAAGACGACCCTCATCAAGCAGGTGGTCACATGGCCGCAGTGTTCCTCGCAGGAGTTGGACAACAACGTATGCGTCGGGGCTTGCTTCTCGTATATGGTTCCTCACAGCGAGCCATCCGCTCCTGGTGACTTGATACGACCCTACTGCGACTCCTGTCAACCCTTGGACAGCGTCTGGCACACGGTGAGTGAATGAACAGATGTCGCAACACGCTGTGAGCCTTGTCACTTGGATGCTCGCTTTCAGGTTACTCTGGACTGCAAGGACGAGGAGAACAACCCGATAACGATGCAGAAGAAGGTCCAAATCATCACCAACTGTTCCTGCAGTTCCTGCATGGAGACCTCTAGGATCAAACCGGACTACAACACCCTGCTCCAGTCGCTGACGGAGGAGAACATGGATAAGAACGTGAACGTCGTCCACGAAACGCCGGATCTCCTGCTGAATCCCAACCTAAATTCTTCAAAGAATACCACCAGGGATGGCGTCCAAGCCAACGAGAGATTCCTGCAACTGTTGAAGCAGCTGAAGGACTCGGAGAAACTGGACGAGTTCGGTGCCAAGGAGTTGTTCTCCAAGTTCGAGGAAGACGTCGATATTGAGAAGCTGAGGGAGCTACTGAAGAAGTACAGCCAAGAGGACGAGAGGGAGCATTCGCATCAACATCAGCACCAGTCGTCCGGGAAGCAGCAACAACAACAGCAGCAGCAACAGCAGCACCACTCTACGACGACCGTGCTTCATCGAGGTCCTCATCACTCGATGGTTCTGGACTCCGACGTCAAAGAGAAAATCGACGTGGAGCCGCATTATCTTCACCCAGCGGTCGCTGGTCAGGAGATCAGCTACCACGACAACGTCCTCGTGGACAAGGATAAGAAGAAGGATTTTTGAAAAGAGGGAGGACGTTCCTCTTACCAAGGAAACGCGCGACTGGTTGACTTTAGACGTCGAACTGGTCCGAGTTCATAGAAGACATTATTGGTATAGATGAAAATGCTCGTCGGACGAGATCGTTTCTGTTTCTTTTTTCCGTTAGGATCGTTCATTGCCTAGTCCAGTCTGCGGTTAATTGTTCGGTTTTTGAGCTACGATTAAACGTTCAGCTTGATCCACTGTAAATAGAGACGGTTCTTCGTTCTTCTTTGTTTTTAGTAGAGAAAAAAAAAGGGATGACGCTTTGTTTTGTATTGTATGTACTATTCGTTAAAATGTTACGCGTTATTGTTCGATGGGTAAACCGTTCGATTAGATTTGCTTAGGTTGGGTGGCAGAAGACTCGTTGGGGCTCGATTGTTCGGAGGATGCGTTAGGTAAAAATTGATTTCTCAATCGCTATTGGAGACGAGACGCTGAAAGGGGGGAGAAAAAGAGAGAAAGAGAGATGAAATTCTAATATATATTTAATTATTATTATTATTATTATTAATTAACTATTTAACATACTCGCGCGTCTAATAAAGGAATTTACGTCTGTTTATATTTACATTTTAACTCTCGAAACTAGCAAATATTGTAAACATCGACAGGCATTTTTTTTATCTTGTTGACTGCTTCGAAGCATATATTGTATCCATTGTCCCGTAAAGAATAAACAAAGAGTCAGCATGAGATGTATTCGTGGTGGATCCTTACACACTCTCCTCGAGACTTCCAAATCGCCTAGGATCTCATTAAACTTCTAACTTCAGCCTTAATTAACATCAAGTGACAACCATTGACGTTTATTTTTAATACTACTGTGTAAAACTCACTTTTCGTCACCAGTAACAATACGATCTAAAAGTGCAACATTACTTTGCCTCGATTACAATAACGTAAGGGACGAAATTACTTACGAGATGACCTGATACTTTGGAAATCCTAGAATCCTCGCCAAGAAATACTCGTAATCCCGGAGTGCTACGAATTGCTCGATAGAAAATAGATAACTGAGTTTTCTCACATTTCAGGAAGAATGGTGCACTGTAAAAGACGCGATAAACATTAGATAAACGCGTCTTAATCAATCCCGCAAATCTAATTGCTCGATTAAAAACAGATAACTGAGTTTTCTCACATTTCAGGAAGAATGGTGCACTGTAAAAGACGCGATAAACATTAGATAAACACGTTTTAATTAATCCCGCAAATCTTGTCTCGTTCGTACGTGCTTACTTTAATTAGATTCCACGCGCGTCTTAAGTGCAATTTGACAGTAAAAAAGAATATCAACTAGTGATAACCGATATAGCATACACAAGCTGAAAACGTTCATTGTCTGCAGATTCTTCTATATGGATGTCGGTACAGTCAGACTACAATGACATCGACGAACAAAGCCCATAACAGATGCCTTCATACTCATGATCGCGTTATTTTTCTCCAACTGTAGATCCAATAAGACAATCAGGACGAAGCTAAAAGAGAAAGGAAGGTTGAAAGAAACGTCACGTCGAACATAAACATTCGTCAAGCGTACGACTTGGCAAACCGTGCCATAGGTGTGCAAGGTGGAATGCAAATAAAGCAATCAAGAGCACGGCCAGATGATGGTGAAAACAGAAGAGGGCGGAAACGCAGGGAGCGGCGATTCGAAGCAATCTATCACGATACTTTCTCCTGAAACTAAAACGAAGACGCGAACGCAACGGCGAATCAACGCGCGGTATTCACCTGGTAAGAAACTGTTCAATGTGCGTTTTATTTCACATTGTATTTTATATGTCGTGTCCTATCGTACTGTAGCTAAAAAAAGTATTTAATAGTTTTTTGAAGATAGCTATCTATAAAGAAGTAATACATTAGTATGATGTACATGTTCTTCTTTTTAATGCTTCTTTATACATATACATAAACAACGTATCGACTTAGAAATGTATTGCATTGTGTTCTATCCTATAAATAAATCTTAAGTAAATTTGAGATTTCAGCAACTTTGCTGTAAGTATAATTAAAATAGAGGTAAAGAAATAATTCTTTCTCTTTCGTGCGCTGGTATTTCACTACATTTATAATCCGTGACTTTCCTTTCGAATCTAAACACGGTATAACTGTCATAGATAGCATGTACAACGTCTGTTTACATCTGTGGCATTGTACTATCACGTTGTACAAGAATATTGAAATTTACTGTCATTATACTGCTCTTCAGTGTGCAAATACTTCCTTGACTTTGAAATTTTTGTTTCCTCTCTACCATTTTCGAACAGTACAATTAGTATATATCGTTTCCTACACATAAAGGAACACTTAATGATTTATATATCGTTAACGTGCTACTTCTTTACGATCAATTATATTTTTAAAAAACTGAATGTACAAATACTTATTTAATCCACTGTATATTATTCTATAGTAGATGAAGCCGTCGACGTTGTTTACGTGCGTTTGAATTTAATTATCGATGAATGCGTAATGAAATAGTTGAAAAACAAATCTTATTATCCATGTTTGTTCTGTCGTAAGCTAATTACATTAATTCGGTTAAAGACAACATTGTCGTGACAAGCGTTTGCACGCATAGGAAGCCAGTCTAATTCTCTTTGCAAATTAAAGAGCTTAATGTATACTCTTATGTTTATAATACTGATGCAAATGTTCAGAAAGAGTAGAATGGGTAATTTGAGTAATGATAAGGCTTTCTGGAATTTCATTAACCGTAATGGACGTAATTCACCTAACGTTAAGCATGGAAATTAATGAAATTGATCAAACATGCTTTACTTAAATAATGTTTCATCAATTTCTAATGCTTTTTCTAATTATTTCAAGGCACTTTCAATTAAAAACAAATTTATAATTAGTCCATCAATTTTAGAATTAATTATTCTCTACGCTTCCACTATTCAGAAAATGCTCCGTATTACACATTGACTTCCATCGAATAGTTTATAGGAAGTCCCCCCGTAAAAATTTGTTTGGATAATGGTTATCCTCTTTCAAATATGATCTACACGTAATAATCCGAATTTATTAATTTCGCAGTTAATGGATCACTTTGCGTATACTTCTCGCTCAGTTAAATGTCCTTGCAATATGCACCATTAATTAAAACTTCTCGAAACATTCTACTATGATTACCTACCATTAAACAAAATGGTATCCATTCGTCAAAATAAACAAATAAACAAATCTGTAGTAAGTGAAAACGTTTTCCCCGATAATGCTGATGCAGAGTTCTACCAGTTGGTAGATTTGCTAGTTAATTATGCGCATGTATTAAGATAAGATAAGTTTGTCTATACGACTAGTATACTCGATTGCCGATCGTTTATCAGTTATTAGCCAATTACTTGGCTCCACGATACGGAGGGACTAATCATTTGATCCATTATAAGCTAAATAGCTGAATAGCCGATTCCCAAGATATCGACTAACCATTCAAGCGACTATTAATTCACTATTGTCGGTATTAAGTATCATTAAGATATACTTTATTGAACGCTTTCTTGATGTCACGGTAAATCCATTCTTCTGAGTTCCTTCACCTTGTTTGACCCATTTTTAAAAAATGTCACCTTGCGGAGAATAAGAAGAAGAAACTTTCTTTTATTTACAGTTTATTCATCCGATGTTTAGCTTAAAAAATAAGTTACAATTGAAGAATTTTTTTCTCGAGACTCTTGAAGAATAATTAATTTAGCATACCTCGTAGCATTCAATTTCTTCGCGAATCCTATCCAGATTTAATTTTATTAGCGTCTGACAATCGGAATTAATTTTTGTAGTTCCATAACGAAAAGTCCCGTCACCCATTTTTAGGTGACACGACGTCCAACGTGTTAACTATCAGCCTACCTAGAAGAGGATTTTAAAAGAGAATTTTCTATATTAGTATACATTAATCTATTAGGTTGTTCTAAAATATTCTTTCGTGAGTTGCATTCAATTATTTTCTGTGGCAGTGTTTATATAAATAGACAATCTAATTTCATAGATATTCATGCTGTAACAGTAATGGGGCGAAATGAATTGTACACAATTTTGTAATGTAACATAAAACAAAATATTGTGTATGTATTCATTATTAATAAAACGAAAGAAACTTTTGGGACAACCTAATAGATTGACATAACTCCTGCATACTATTAAGTTTGTTACTAGGTATACTAAAAGCCTCGTCCGTTCCAAAAAGTTGAGTATTACAAGTAGATATCAAATAACACGGTGAATAGGTTTCAAGAGGAAGACACTGGAATTATGAAGCTCCTATCAATAAACAAGCTCCCGGTCGATAATGCGTCACTCGCTAATGCTAAATAACAAACGAATGAACCTATTTCCATTATTTTACGACGCTATCTCGAAGTAGTAATTCCATTCGCCACTTGTTTCTAGAACTTACCAAAATACTTATCGAAATAAGTCAAGGGACCAACACGAGGGGTGGGGCTCGACTTCTGTCACTCTCCTCTACCCTGCAATCTCCATAAACGCCTGATTTTCAGAAGGCGTATCTGTGTACCACTTTCCGCCAGCTTTCCGTGTTTTTGTTCAACTGTGGCTCGATATGGGATCCGAGAGGCAGCGAGCAGTGATCGGTAGATCGCGCAATAAGCGGGGTCGGCGGTTCGACGACAGGCAAGAGGGCTCCAGCGGAATAATCGCCGATGATAAGAAACGATTTCGGCCAATCAGCGCGACCGGATTCGAGCGGGATCGAAAGCGATTGCGTAGCTGGCCGACGATCGGAGCGACAGTGTTGCTCGGCGCTCCGTTGCGCGTCCCTGCTGGTTTTCTGCGTGGTCGCGTAGCGTTCTTCTTGACGGCGCAGCTGCGCGTGCCACCAAGACAAACGGTCCCCCCCCGTTGGAAAATGTTGACCCGTTGCTGACCCGGGACGAGACGGCGACGCGACGGGCCCCGGTGACACGCGATGCACGACAAGTCCCCTGGTGTTGTTCGACTACTTATAAATGCCAAACTCTCCGACAACAACCGCTGGCGGGATACCACGGGGGAGAGGGACAGATTTCGAACGAGCCTCCTCCGAGCCGAGGATAAACACCATGGACGGTAGGACTCTGTTGCTTTCGATGTACAGCCGCTGGTAGGGATCTTGTGAGGTCGTAAATTGAAACAGCAGTTACTGCTTCATCGGTACAGGTAACTGATCCCTAGGACGACTGGGATGCCCCGGCTCTAAACTATACATGCCCAAGTTGCACCCCACGACCCCAAGACTAAACATATTTTGTTGCGAGTATCTCGGGTTTCCCCAATCTGGAAAAACCAAAAACTCGTGAGGATGATTGGTTAACTACAGTGGGTGTAGAAAGTATTTGTACACCGATCAATTTCCACAAAAGCTATGTAAAATTGTAATTTATTAACTTATTTTTTATAAACTATGACATTCTACATATTCTCGGAAATCTCTAGAATAGATAGATTACAAACAAAAATAGCTATTTATGTAAATTGCGAAATTAACGAGAAAAAAACAATTATTCGATAGAAATATTGAAGCAATAAGTATTCGCACAACTGTTTAATTTTTAAAACTTCATTAAAAAAAAAAAAAGAAATTTACATTAATTTATAAGTATATAATACTTCCTTCGTGGGATTTCCTTTTGATTTTATAATTATTGCAACTCTTCTAAGCATTAAATTAACTAAATTATTAGTTATTCGAAGTGGAATCTTCTTCAATTCTTCTATTAGAGCCATTTTTAAAAGTACTTTACTGGAAATTTGATGTTTTCTAATTCGTACGGAGCAATAAACTAATGTGTTTACGTTACAAACTCTACTGTAAACGATTCGATATAAGAATCGTACAAATATTAGGTTGTCCCAAAAGTTTCTTTCGCTTTATTAATAAGTAAACATGCACAATAGTTTATGTTTTATGTTACATTACTGAATTGTGCACGATTCATTTTGCTCCATTACTGTTACAACATGAATATCTATGAAATTAGATTGTCTATTTATATAAACACGACCACATCAAATAATTGAGTGTAACTCGCGAAAGAAACTTTCGGGACAACCTAATACTTATTGCTTCTATACTTTTACCCACTTTTCGCATTTTTTTGTTAATTTCACAAATTATATTAACTAGTAAATGTTGTTTGGACTATATCTATCTTAGAGACTTCCGAGAATATGTAAAATATCATTGATTATAAAAAAAGAAGTTAAGAAAGTACAATTCCACACAAAAGTTTTTTGGGAAATTGATCGGTGTACGAATACATTCTACACCCACTGTAAGTTCCTACCTACCACGGTATTTTCGATAAGTATTCGCCTCTCGAACACAAACCTTTGTTTTTAATCAGACAATCGGTACGATAAGTGTTTGGTGTACGAATCTATATTATCTGGATTTTACTCACAATTAGCGCGTTGCCTAACTGAAATTAAGAAACAGTGTTTCTTGATCCATTACAGAATCATGTGTGAACGTACATAAGGAGAATAAAGTTATTGAAATATGAATCTCCTAATTCTGATATCGTATGGAATAAAAAGTCTAGCTCTATCCTTGTCTAAAAATGTATCAGATTACTAATTACGGTCGGCTTAAATTGTAAAGATCAATTTCCGACCGATTTTCCGACCTCACAAGATCTCTACCGGTGACTTCACGTTACGACGGGTAACGCTTGACCGTTACGAAGGCTCCTTGTACTTGACGGGCCCCGATGAACTGTGCACGTTGAGCCCATCGAAAGTGCACGTACAGTTCGTTGCTCATTAGTTGGCGAGGCAGTTCAATTGGCTGACGAGTAACGGCGACACCTTTAATTTCACGCATTTTCGTTATTGGCTGAAGCCGTTACATTTGCGAAGCTACCGCGTAACGAAGACGGCGGAAGAGACATATCGAGATAAACTGAGAGAGCAATAGTAACTATTGGCGTAGATATGTAAGAAAAATGGAAAAGTTGGAGACGCATAAGATACACTTTGTATATGTCGCAGGGAAATGATAAAAATAGAGATTTGATCAAATCCCTTGACTTTTTTAGTGAAAAGATGGAATAATATTGTTTAGATATTAAAAGTATTAATTTAGTAAATCATGCGTTATTAATACAACAATAGTCGTAGAAACATAAATTATTTATTCGAAATTAATTAGCAAAAGAAATAGGTACTTAAGCTGATATTTTAAAACACAAAATGGATATTTTTAATGAAATTTTACAGATTTTTAGTGAATGTAATTAATAAATAAATACGTTCATTTATTTTTATTAAAACACGTTGTTGATTTGTGGATTTTTACACTAAAACAGTTATGGGATTTGATCAAATCACTTACTTTCTTTAGGGAAATGACCTCACAGAGTCGTTATTTTAACATCTCCCGTGAATTGATCATCTACCTTAGGGATTTGATCAAATCTCTATTTTTATCATTTCTCTGCGACATATATAACCGACAGTGGAGTATGAACTACGACTACGCAGTGTGACTGCTCGAAAGAAAGAAAGCTCCTGGAGTCCCGTTCAGTTCGTAGGTGCCTCGCCAACTCCTGAGCAATATACAATACACGTGGATAAAAATTCGATTTTACTTTGTCGATATTTCAACCAATCAGTTGTGATTCACGAGTATACTCGTCATGGAGAAAAGGCAGTATTTTGTGTCATGACGAGTTCTTGATTTTTTAATTTTTGATAGCTCAGCTCTGAGTGGTCACCGGGGAATACTTATGTAAGCAATGACAACGCCGCAACTTTGTTGAGTTAAGATATTTTTAAATAGCAATCTTTAGACTAGGAATCTTTGGACTAAAAACATAACATTGTTTGCTATATTGACAGTAGGCATGAATATATTTGGATCGCTGTTTGATCGAAGAACCATTCTAAGTATTTTACATTATCGATTGCGAGACTGAAAGACTTCATCGATCACAGTGGCTGTAGATTCAAGATTCTTAGATTAAAAGATAAGAAAATTGTAGAATTGTCAAGTGGACGTCTATTATCTTAGATAAGATTTATTGAAAAATGTGAGTTCATCAGCAACGAATATCTAGATCAGTTCGTCATTTGTTTTTAGGAACCGATACTATAATTTTGATTGTGTCTTCCAATCTATCCATCGAATTCTAATGATAAAATCTTAAAATAGAATTTTTATCCTAGCCATAGATGAATTGATTCCAATAATAAGGCGATTGATTGAATAAAGCGAATTTGGTCTTTTTTGAATGTTGAGGAGCAGCTGCAGGAAGGGAAGACGATTAGGTGGTTCGTGAGGTCGCAATTCCGCGATCTTTTCGCGAGATCTATTTTCTCTTCGAAGCGAAGCGTCCAAAAATGTTTGGAGCCGCCCTAATGGTTCCAAGAAGTACCGTCGTTCCTTCGAAACGATTTGTCAATTAGCGCTAGCTGTCACGTTGGCGACGAACAATTTTATTAAACAGCGTCCTCGACCTACGCGTCCTAATTTAACGATTTGAAAAGCTGGGGGCATAACGTTCACCGAACGAACGACTTACATCGGACTAAGGCGAGTGATAAAACATCGTTTAAATGATTCAAATTGACTAGGCTTTAACGATAGGGAAGAGTGAGGACGTTAACTTTTAATACTCAAATTGTAACAGTTATAAAAAAAATGTACAGTAGCTGTATGAAGATAAAATCCATGGTAAATCATTTATTTTTGTTTGTTTGAAGATACTCCAAGAGAGTGAGATGAGTTTCTAAAACATCTATTATATTTTTAAAGCATACATGAAAATTTCGATCGTTAAGGATCCTAACAAATACATAACAATTTTACAAAAAAAAACATTCCTTGCAACTGTAATGAAGTTAGACTGTGGTATGTCCCATGGTACGAGCTTTAATTTTTTTGAAGAAATTTAAAAGGTCAAATCACTTATTAAAAGTTATATATTTAATGTTACCAGGACACCTTGAAACTTGAATTTGATATTTTCAAATTTTTTAAATATATTGTTTTAGCTTATAGGCAGCTTTGACCAAGTACTTCATTTTCAATTCAAAAGATATTTCTAATTGTCATAAATTTCTAATAGAAACATCTAATTTAAGTAGTTTGTCAATATCATTGTAATGCAACTACGCAGCACATTGTATACAAACAATAGCTTCACTCTCCGTTTCTGAAGACTCATTAAATGTGATCCAGACAGCTTGAATTCTTATCATATGTTGCAATGAGACAAAGCAATTTGCGTTGCACATTCTACCATTATTATGACTAATTATGCATAAAGTAACATGTCTGATACAGCATGTTTTTAAAATATAAAAGACAACAACGAAATATCGTTATTTAATTTTACGAAAATTATAAAAACATTATGGATGTATCGATATTCAAATCGCTTCTAAGCGACTCTTATGTCTAGAGCCTACTCCCCCAGTAGAAAAAGAATTTCTTCCCAGAAAAGAATTTTAACTAGCTAAATTGAATTCGCTTCAATGACTAAAAAAGGAAGATATAAATAAAACAAATAAATATTTGTGTCTTCAAGAGTAATAGA